AAAAAAAAAAAAAAAAAAAAAAAAAAAAAAAAAGAGCAGGAAGAAGAAACAACAACAACAACAAAACAGTTTAGCTAGTATAAAACCCATGGTATCACAAAACCAAAATATATCATGGTTTAATAGAAAAATTACTCAACTTGAATCCTCTATTCTCCAACCAGACTTTTTCTAAAGACTGTTATAAGATGACCTCATCAAAAAATAGATTTATAATCAGAGAAAGTGATTCTACATGTTACTACAGAAAATTATTTAAAATTTCTAGATAAGTTTATTTTATCATAAGAGAAATTTGGAAGCTCATTTAAAAGATTCTAATTGTTATCAGGAACTGATAGAAACTATCAATAAAAGGTAAAACGTGTATTTTATTTGTCTACACTATTCTGTACATTTCATTTTGTTAATCTATTAAAGGTATAATAATGTACTATCTGCTCATATCAAATAAAGGTGTAAAAGGGAGACTGGCAATAATATCCAGCTTTGCCAAATGGAATTAACCTTAGTTGCTTTGTATAGAAGATATGTATATATGTTGATCACAGAAGTTACTATAACTGACACTCTCACAGGAAGTATCTAGTGTCAAAAAGATTTTAAAAACTCATTTTTGAAGGCCCAATTTTGCCTCCTATTGGTAGGCTGAGTCTAAATTCTAGTGAAAAGCAAAATAGACTTGAAATAACCTCTTTTACTTCTTTTTGCATTTTCTTTTAAACATTAACTTTTATTTGGCCCAAAATGTTTGAAATTTTCAAGTTTGTGTAGAAAAAAATACTGCTACAGCTGTACTCAGAATTGATGCTTTTATGAAATGTTTTTAAGAGTACCTTGTAGCAAAGCTTTCTACTTATATTTCTTTTTAATTATTTTGTATTTTGCCTATGTGGCTGGATTTATTTTAGAGCACACCTTGATTTTTGTTTGAGGTGAATTCTAGATTTTACAGACTTTACAAGATTTAAAACCGTCTTATTGGCCTTCTTAAACATACTAAGGACTTTCAATGTGTGACTTCTTTGTCTTCTTGCTATATTGTACGTAATGTGTTTGGATATATTTTAAATAAAGTTTCACATTGGATGATCCAGATTGAATGCTTATTATGTTCATGAAGAAATACTATCTTTAGAGTTGTTCCGAACTCTTACTTCATCTTACCCCCTCTTGACAAGAATCCCTCATACTAAGACCCTCTTACCTAGGAACTATCCTGGGTTCACCTGCCCCCTTGTGGTGTTCTTATCTGAAAAGTTAATTAATTTCTGAAATTTGGATTGATATTACAGCCTGAGAGAAAGAAACCTCATTGTCCTTGTTTAGCGTCCAGAATCAGAAAAAAATCTATTCTGTTATTCACTGGCTAACATAGTATGATGAAAGGTATTTTTTTATTTTGTGTTAATTCAAACATAAGAAAAAAACTGGGCACTATAAATAAATGAGCAGCTTGGAATAACTGATTATGCTTAATTTTGTCTAGAGTCAGTCTGATCTCAGCTCAATACTCTAAGAGGGTGTTTTAAGAGTTCTCATAAAGCAACTTAAAAACAAGTTTAGTTTATATCAGTATCTCCTTTTTCAGTGAGGAAGGCAGAGTGGAGACAACTATTAAGTTTAAATTTTAAAATAGATTTCCTAGCCTTTCATCAATGAAATTATAAATATAAGAATTAAATATTTTATAACGTAGTTCGACTTGATTGATACAAACACATTTTTGTTACCCTCTCTCAAAAGGAATTCCTTCACATGTCACGGAACTAATTTTTACCCCTTCCTTTGGAGTCAGAAGGATTTGCACATGGGAACAAGATGTGTAGGTACAGTGAGTAAATTTACCTACCCACAAATTTAGAGAAATTTTGCAAGATTTGACTTAATAATTATAACTTATTGTTCTTGATAAAAACAATATGAAAATAAAGTTAAAAGTGTAAGGAAAGAACTATTTACACAAATGAGCCATTAGACTTTCTTAGAAGGAGATAGATTAATAAATTATTATTGTTGGCAAGACCCCAAATAAAAATTTAAAGATTACTTTTTCTGTTAACTATAGAATACTTCTAGCCCAGAATTGTCTCTTTTCATGCTGTTCTACCTGCCACCCCCACTCAAGCCTGGTTGGGCTGAGTAATAATGCTTTGTGACATTTTAAACATCCTGTCACCTCACTTGCAATCTCAAAGGAGAACAAGATGCAGGCTTTAGTACAGACATTTGCAGATCAACTCCCAATTTCTTGCATCTACAGCTGCTTTGCAGTTTCTCTTTATGTGTATAACAGTTGATCTACTACCAGGTTCCCAGAAACACAGGTTCCTCTTTTGGCAGGCTTACCTAACCTCTGTGTCCTTCCAAAGTACATAAATGCTAAACTGTGTTCACAGAGAGGGAGGGAGAGTCATTCCAGGGAGACTTAAAAAAAGCCAAGACCCTTTCTGTTCCCTACCAAATTGCTGCCATCTTCTCCAAAAGAATAAAGTTTGTCATTATGCCCTTGGCATAATTTCTGCAGCCTGGATTAAGCACAGGTGACTGAGAGTCTGCCTTATCTCCACAGGGCATTAGTCACTCTATAAAAGTTAAATTTATTATGAAATGCTTTGTGTGTGTTAACATATATCTTCTCTGGGAAGTTGGAAACAAAGGCATGTCCTTTAAGACTCCATATGGGGAAAACACATCCTCCTTCGGAATTTAACCTTAATTTGAACCAAGATCTGTGAAAGCAAAGCACTTTGGTGTATTGTTCCCTTTCTCCACCCTTCTATCCCTTATCTAAATGGAGTTACTGTTGCTGTTTTTTTTAACTCTTGCCATTCCAAACCTTGCTTTCCTGAATTAAAAACTTTATTTTAGAAGGGAAGTATATAAAAATAATTGTGGCAAAGGATTATACTTTACTTTAAGAATGAATGATTTTATGTAATGTATTACATCATTAAAGTTAAAGAAATGTATAGCTGGTTTATATTTATTTTATTTTGTTCAGATATACTACAAAAACACTTTATTTCCTACAAAATTTGTTTGAAAATTCACTAGCAAACATTGTCATATATACATAGTTTACATTTTATTAGAAGTAAACAATTATCAAAAGTGAGAAAATTTTACATCAGAAATGGTGATGAGGTGCCATTTCAAAGATCTATTTTTGACCTCCATTTTCCTTCAATCTATTGACAGTCTTTTTAATGCTTCCTATGTAAGAAAAATCCAAAGATACTATAGTGCTCTGTTTCAAAGACAAAAGCAAAACTTCCATTGCTGCTTCCTCATCATAGTACCCTAGTTGTTGATAAATTTGAAGGAAGGTAGTTTGAAAGGAACATGTTTTGACATTTTAAAAAAATTCATGTAGGAATAATTAGTTTCTTTAATAGCATCTGTACCACCAAACTCGTAATTATCCCAATGATTTTTCCGTCTTTTTGTTGAATTAAGAAAAACATAACCTAAGTTCTAGTACAAGTTCAGATCTTCATTTATTCTTTTAAAAGTATGAGTTTTAAATGTATCTGTATTTTCAAAATATAGTTTTGCTTGGCATTATTAAACTTTCTTAGCAAAAGCGAAACTTGCAGATTCATTTGCTCACATATTTAAGCTCATATTATAAAAATGTGATACTGAAATGAGCTTAATAGACACGTTTTTAAAAACATGGGGCACATATCCAGTATGTTTAGGACACTAGAAAATTTATCACAAGTAATATCAAATCACAGCATCATTGCCCCCTCCTCAGCCCCACCTGGTTTCTCTTTAGCCACCCCTCATATGACAGTTATTGAAGATTTTTCTCCACCACCTGTTGGCACTTGATCATACACTGTAGTTATTTAAATTCATAATATGTATCAAATTTCTTTCATGGAAATTATAAACTCACATGGAACAATAAGGACTTGACAGTTTGAATGGTTTACCTTTTAGACTCTTAAGTTCTTGGTTTTCTTGAACTTTGTCAGGTAGTGGATGTGAATTTGATATAAACATTCTTAAAAGATGACAGCCTTAGACCCATTGTTACCTTATTAAGTGCGGCTCCCAAACTTCCCCAGTGACTGTTTCGGATGAACATCTTCACTGCTTATGTAGATGCTTGTATTGTTAGATCTTTCATTAATGGTCCTGCCATAGTCATAGAAACAGCTTTCCTAGGAGCAAGATGATCAAAAGGACGATGAAAAAGATAATGGGAAAGTATAAGTGTGAAAGTATGATGTCAAACAGAATGAAGAAACTAATAAGAATATAAGATTTGTAGATGGTTGGAAGAAACAACTTGGCAATAGCTAAAAGGAAGAGAAAAAAAAGCAAAGATAGCTCCAAACTGCCATGTGAAT